ATGTTTAACAATAATCAAGACTAAGGACTAGAATAGAATGAATAATCCTTTCCACCTTTCAGCTAAATCCTTTTTTTTTTTTTTGACTGGAAAGGAATAAAATTTTACAAAAAAACCCTTTTAGCATTTAAATAAGGGTAAATTTAAAATAAATCATACTTTTTGTTTTAAAAAATATTAAGTCCTATAATATTTCTGTTAAGACGGTGAAATCCTATTTTTGATAATATATTCTTATAAAATCTTATATACATTATATTCCTTCTTTGCCCTTCATCCTTAAATCACCAAAATACCATTGATTACCTCTTGTTTTTCACTTATCGTATCAACAGATCAAATTAATCTGATCCGATTTGAAAACTCTTGTCCAAATTTTTTTTGAATATACAATGGTATATATGTTCATAATCTATATCGCACTTTGTTAAAAATTAGAATTTAATTCCATCCTTATAATTAAATTTTAGATAAATTTTATTAAATTTTCATTTAAATTTTAACTCATTTACGAAATAATTGTGTAATTTCATACTAAATATATATTTATACACATAATTTTTATTGAATTGCACTTGGTTCATGTATCAATATATCTAAATCTGAATCTGTGAAATAATGTATATTAAATTTAAATTTTGAAATAAGAATTAAATAATTGATCAAAAAAACTAATTTATATGTGACCAATCAAATTCAAATTCAAAGCGAATTTGAATTAGGATTGGTTATTTAAGTGAATGCAATTAGAATTTTAGGTATTTAAAGATTCATAAAAATTAATTTTTACTTAGACTAAAATTAGTTAACTATAATAAAATCTAAATTATTAGTTTATGCTATCATAGGAAGAATAAAATTGGAAGAGACATGTTACTAATTGAATTTACGACTTCATGGGAAAATTTTTTCAAATGTACCACTTAATTGTTCTAATGTAAATATGATAAGATTTAATGGTTTTTTATATGAAAAAGTAAGATTTATTGGCACTCTTCCTTTTAAATAATCGTAAATATTTCTAAACTCAACAAACACCACCAGCCAGCCCTACCATACAATCACAAGCACTATTTCAATCACCCCACCACCATCACCAAGATTTGAAGGGTTTTTTTTTTTTTTTTTTTGGGGGGGGGGGGGGGGGGGGGGGTTGGGTA